CAGTGAAACCATTTTCATGGAAAACTGATGAAATTCTTCGTGCGTAACAACATAATAAATTCACACTTGGGAGAGTAGTTGATAAATTGTCTATAAGAAAAATTGAAGTCAGTATTTCTAATGAGGATATCATTAATAATACTAGTTTTCCTAACGTATAAATTTAACTAATTTATTGCAAACATGTTCCCTTGCTTTATTTAAATTAAGACGTTACGTGTCCTAATGCTACTTGATTAATTTCTGACAACACAATAAAGCCAAAATTCTAATATGCTTGCAACATATGACATACCTATGGCGAATTTGTAGGAGTCAGGTTTCCGAACAACCTAAAATAGAGTTTTGGAAATTCTTTAAATAATAAAGGTTTTACGTTATAAAAACTCCTAAATTTGGTTAATAAAGTGCAATATTAAAAATCAAATAACGCACTTTATTCCTTTCAAATTAAAATTAAGCAGGGACGGATGGAGTCGAGATTAATTTCGCATTTTAGCAACACTATCGTGGAGAAGCCAAATAGTGCTTATTGTATATCTACTCACCTCTGTTTCTTCTATGAGTTCTATGTGGGTAGCCTACTATCCACGTTAAAATTAGATATTTTAACTTGTTGGATGGTTCTGATTAGTATCTATATCGAAAAGTACCGATAAGTTGTTTGTATATTTGATGGTAATATCAGCTATGCTTTCTTGTCCTTTTACTTCTACTATCCACTCACAAGTCACAAAATCTATCTCGTAGCTTATCACTTCTGGAAATTTGACGAAAATATTTTTAAATTCAGGAAGAAAAATGGAATAGTCACACTTTTCTTTTGCTCTTAGTTTTGTTAGTACATACGAGTAGCCGGTTACATTTTTGATCTCTTCTGATCCCGTTGATGATTGTGCGCCCTTCTTTTTAGGAGGAGACCTGAGCTGCTCTAAGACGACTGTGTCTCTTGATGGATGATTCATTGGAGGCGTGGGAGCGATTGGCTCACTAAATGCCTATACTAAGGGTTGGTGCTAATACGGACACTTTTATCCTGGATATTGTCTTCTTGCGACGGGTTAATTACTTAGGAGATTATTTTTCTACTTGTCGTAATTTCTGTGGAGTTGGTGGGTAGTGAATGTCCAACTACATCTATTTGCAAGGTGTCCTCTGTTTTTATAAGAGAAACGCTTCATTTCATGTGCAGAGTTGGACTGGGTCAACTGAGTCACCTGGGCCACTGAATTAAACTGGGTCGCTGGGTCACGTCATACTCTCTTCAGTTAGAGACCCAGTTTGACCCAGTGACCCGGTTTGACCCAGTGACCCAGTAACCTAGTTTGAGCGAATAACGCAGTTAAGTCAGACCTCGGTTCAAGTGTACAGATTATGAAATAAATGAAACTTAATGCTGCTTTGTTGAAAATAATACTGGATTGCTTGACAACTGCCATTTCTGTGATGTTTGCTTTAATACTGTCGTAAAAAACATTCCATGTCCCGAATTGTATTATAGTAATGTTATTTCTGAACAGTTCCCTCCTTCATTTCTTTGCTTCAGGGCTTACCAGTTGCTTACTGGTGTTCATTCACATTTAATTTTCTTCTACCAAATAAATCTTTTCTCTAAATACTTTCATTGACTACTGGACTACAAAGTATAAACAAATGCATTTGATTTTTTAGGTATTAGTTCTCTTGAATGAAATTGGGCTACGTGCTTGTTGGCGAATATTATTAAGTTTTTTTTTAAATTAAAAGTTACTTGAAATTGTTTTGGATGCCAAAATGTAAATACCAATACAAACCTAATGCTAAAAATTTGAATAAAAATTAACCTTAAGACCTAGGGGTCAACGGTTTAAACTGGGCCACCGGGTCAAGTTGGGTCACCGGGTAAAGCTGGGTCACTGGGTCGCCGGGTCAAGTTGTGCCACACAGGGTCCAACTCTGTTCATGTGCGGATAGGAATACACGACAGTAGTGGTAATTGATAAGTATACTAGAAGGTAATGTATCGTTATCATCTAAGGCGACATAAGTGATCGCCGTAAGCTTAGCACATCAGCGTAATCGCCGATTCGAACATTAACAAGTTTAAATATATACAATTTTATTTTATCCAATTAATACTAACTTCTGGACGTGTTTATTGCTCTATTTTTTAAGCTTAGGTATTTCTGTACCATTTCACTTTATTATGTGTTGCATATCATACTATGGGAATGACTATATCCTAGTGTAAAGAATTACACTATGCTAATATGGTCAAATGTACCTCGAGTTAAAAAGTATCCTCCGCCTACTAGTGACTAGTGAGTCATCTAATTTCGCAAGTAGTTAATTGAAAATGTCGGAAATAATAAACAAGTAAGAAGGTGAGTAACTTCGCCGCCTTTTTCATGAATGATCAGTACTTCCCAAAAGGCCATAGCTATATGCGCTGTGATTTTCTTTACTAGAGGCAGATATGGTTAAAATGTCAAAGAACTATCTTGATAAATAAAGAAGTTGGCACTGACTGCGCATGCGCACATCTAATTTTTGAAATATCAGTTATGTTTGTCTTTAACAGAAGCATCTGTGATTAAATTTTCAAAAAGATATCTCGATAAATAACAGTTGATATTGCGCATCCGCGCATTAATATGATGTTTACAATATGATATGCGAGACGTTGGTTACACTAAAAGCATCTTTGGGTAAAATTTCAAAGAAATACCTCCATAAATAAGAAACTTGCCATTTCTGCGCATACGCACAATTGATAAACTATCCAAATGTATGGTTATTTGGGGAGAAAATCATCGTTCACTAAAAGGTACGAATATTGGTTAGTTTGTATACTATCCAGTTAGCCTATAAAGTGTACAAGCTTTATCACAAAAGTACAAACCGCAAGAAAGTTATATAAATTAATCAGAATTTTTTGCTAGTTTACAACTATCCACAGTAGTTGAAGTTGGATAAAGTGTGAACTCAATATTCCGAGTAATACATAATTAAACAATTCATTGGTTATTCTGTAAACTTAACCAATCCTCTTTGGTGAATTTAGTTTGACATAGTAACATAATTCTTGATTAAAATTTGATTTTATTTATGGTACAAAATAACATTTCTTACTACCTACTTAAAAATAAGTAAAGTAAGTGACAGAAATAGTAAAATCTATTTTGAATCAAGAATTAGGTACTACGATGAGCTAAATTAATCAAAGAGTATTGGTTAATTTACATATTATCTCGGATTTTTAAAAACTAATTCCAGATTTGTGATTTTCATGTTAAAAAACTCCCAGATACCAAATTTTGTCGAAATCCGTACCCCCTTTATTTATTTATTTTTATCTGCCTTTATTTTTGAGTGGGCGGGGTTTCAGCCAAGGCTGCTCTACCAACCCAACCCACTATACATTTACAAATATCCATGCCCGAACCCGGATTCGAACCAGGAACCCTTCAGATTCAGGTGTGCGCCCTTTCGTACTAGGAATTTTGAAGAAAATTATGCAAAATCGGAACGGGCAGTTCTCAAAACTTGTTAAAAGACCTGCCACCAGTCTTTGTATCTCTCACGGTTGCTGAGAAAACAATTTAAGCAATTTAAGTGCAAATTTCGTCACTATTTTGAGGGTGTCTGTATGGCTCCAAAATGAAACACGTTATATCCTCGGTTTATTTGAAAAAAATGCCTGTTTTGATCTCCTCTATCACTCAATTTTTTTTTTACATACTTATATGTAACACCCTGTACATTATGTAGCCTGTAGGGAATAAAGCGTCGAACTAGGGTACTTACAAAGGAAAAATGGTTTATATGGACCACACGCATCACTTGGTGAAGTTGGAACTTTAAATGTGAATATCTCGAAAACGGAATGTCGGAAAAATGTCGCATCAGGTGCCATTCCGACCTGTTTTAGCGGTTTGTACCTTATCATTCAAGATGTATTGTAGATAAGCACAAAAACCGTGGCGATTTCACAAATTTTTGAAAAATATACGCTATTATATTCGTTATGGCTGGCTGGCTGGCTGTCCGGCTGAGATCTCAGCAATTATAATAGCTAGTGACTTCACATTTTCACTAAAAGCTTTCTGATGTAGTGTAGATGTGCAGGCTCTAGTCTATTTTGAGTTAGATTACTCATCAGATAGATAATTTTAAACTTCGCTAATAAAATACTGATCGGTATTACCAAAAATGCGCTTTCATCATGCATATGCTGATTTACAACTTGTTTTACTTAATACCTGTCAAATGTGTCAGTTTATTCGGCCAATGGGTACCTATATGTCGGAAATGTAGAAAACAAACAAAAAATAATATCAAGAAAAAGAGGTGGGCGGAGGAAAAAATATCGCCTGAACAATTTTCAGTACTTTCACCCTCAGCGCATCCCTTAAAAATTGTAACTCTCTCCCATCCTCCAACTTTTCACGGTACCCAATTACCTACACAGTATTACTGTGAAACCAAAAAAGCGCAGTCAACATGTTGAATTGAGTGAATTCTAAAATAATTAACTTCTGGGAGTGATGCAACAGAGCTGCAATAAACCTTGCGTTGAAGTAGGCCATACGAGACAGAATTTGCATTCGCAAAACACAAGGCGAAACGTGACGACGATGAGTAGTATTTTATAGAGTGCATTTATTAGGTACATTGTGCAGATCGATAGATTTTGAAATCTATATCCGCCGCTAGAGGCAGATCGGATTTTCCGAAATAAAAACGGGAAAACGAAAGGGTGCAATGGAAATTGATTTTGGTGTATCCATACATTGAAAGATTTATTTCAGAATCAGGTGCAGTGGTTCATTTTCGAACCTACTTTTTTGCGCCTGAGTTCACACTCACACTCCTAGTCTCCTAGTACCTACCAGTTGCTTTATCATTTTTAAGAAAAACCCAGTTTCGTGCATCATTATTAACGTATTGGGATGTTTCATATACTAACCTCTATTCTCTACTTCTAATTTCTCTTTAATAACTCAACTTTTTGTTTGCAGGTAAATCAACTCTCCTTTCGCTGACACGGTGTGGTAAGTCAAAGAACGCGGTTTAAATATGTTTTGAATGGAATAAATCAATTTATTGCATCCTTTCAAGACCTGCATTTATCTCTGGGACCGCCTTACGCATTCCTTAATTAAGCTTGTTAAAGGTAGTGTAAATAACCGCTCTCGAGGTGACGTAATGTGGAAGGCTATTATTCCGATCTCTCGTCATCGGTATTGCACGTTTTCTTTAATATCGAATTTATTACCGGTGTTTTTGTATTAAAAGGTGGATGTGTGTTACCGACTTTCCGGTAGTATTTCCTCATTAAGGTGATTCACTTGTTGATTAAAAATTACCTTGTTGTTAGCAATGATTGTTATGTTTTACCTTATCGTTGAATTTATTCTAATTTGTATAGTTTTTAGCACGGAAGTGCCTATACATTGTCCTCATTATTATTGCGGCGGCGATCAGAAACAGGTGCGATAATAGAGGAAACTTGACGTATACAGACGACTTGAAAATATGAAGTTTTGAAAGAGTGGACGAATTTATGAAACGAAACATCTAATTTTATGGTCCATTTTTTAATATTATGTCAAATAATATTTTGGGTTGGTAGTTAGGTAGGTATGTATACTGAATATTTACATGTGTTATAAATCACTCTCATTAGCGGCGGCGTTTTCAAAAAGCCTCGCGAGCAAGAAACGATCACAATGAAATATTTGTTGTGATACTATTTTGTTGATTGATATATGCGCAAATACTTTTCTATCGATCCTGGGTGGCCATCGTCCGATATAACCGGATTGTATCGAACAAATTTCAAACCCATTTGGCTTCGTATAGTTGGAAATTAGTAGTTCATTGGTTTCGGCTCTAATTGTGTGCAATATGTTCTTTCTTCATAAAATTAACCAATCCAATCGTTAAAAGACGATACAATTTTTATTTGTATTTGACTTCAGTGGGCATCGCCAAAAGTTTATATGCCGATCGAAAAGCGTGCCACACAGAAAAAAAGCTAAAACACTGTAACACAACATACGAGTATAAATAACTTCAATTTCTCGTGTTTTTTAGATACCTTGAAACAACGAATCGCGCCGTCTTTCTAATTGCGACGTTGCCAGGTTACTATTTGGGTTAGGCCAAAACGGTCAAGCGCATATTGAATTTCCTTGCAAAAGTAGGCAAAGAAGGTGAACGTCTTTTCCGAATATTCGTATAGATAAATTAACGATTCAAACATCCAAATTGAAACACCTTGTACACTGGCATAAATAATATTTAAGATTTACATGCCACGGATAGGAATAGCTTGCAGTATCTACTATATTGGAATTCACATTCAAATGGCAGCGTGATAGAGATTTTGTAATGTTTTTTCATGCGACAATGTTGTCAAAGTTAGACGATCGTGTTATATCGATGTCAGCAGGTATAGTAAAATTCAAAAACGGTGAAGTGTTAAATTGCAAATGCAAGCAGTGTTACATGTTTTTAACTATTTGTCCACTAGTAACTATAATTAGTAAAACTTACAATTACAGTAGGATTGGCAACGCTGTATACTAGGGTAATGCCATTGAATGTGAATTCCACTATAAAATATTTGCAATTGCTCCCTGCGAGCAAAAATAAATGCGCGAGGGACTAGAGGGATAGACTGAGCGTATATTTTCAGTTTCTCTTGCATTGCATCGACTGTACACCACATTCCTTATATGTGCTTATACTAAAGATATGCAGTTCATACACCTCTTACTATCTTACACCGCGGCTACTTCTGATTGGTCAGAGGGATAGGTTAGCCGGTTAGCGCATAAAGCTGAGAAGATGCCGAGGAAAGAGACAAACACATTAACCATAAAAATACTAATATAATTTCCACCACAATAAATTAATGTGACTTCATGCCAAACACAGCCAAACAGCCAAAGTGAATACTTTTTTTCAAAAACGCGCTAAACACCTAAGAAATCGTGAAGTTATAACACCTTATAATGAAGCGTGAACCTATGTTTATATGAACTTTTAGTCATAAAATAAGCGCTAGAATTAGCTTCCGTAAATGTGTACGTCATATTTAGAAACACCCTATATAGAAACTAATAACTAGATTTAGTTAATTTTATTAATTGAATTATTCTGCTAGTGCAAGCATTCTTTTATTTTACGAAGCACGAAATATACGAGTACATTATTTTATAGGGTATAGATAATCGTATAACGGGTAGGTAGAGTTGGCGTTGCTTTCCTCAAACCCACCGCATAAGCCGTCAGGGTTCAGGGTAAAATAACAAAATAAGAGTTTGAAAATCCTCCACAGTGGTAGTTCGTTCTGGGTAAAATGATATTCTTTACTTCGGTGCACACTTATCAAGGGTACTCAATTTCTAACTCAACTCTCCGTGTATGAAACTGAGAAGATACGGGGGATTAAAAAGAGTACAAATCAACTTAACAAAACTCCAATCAAGAATGATCGATTAAATTGATTACTTGATCTTAAAACAAGCTTATACAAAGAAATTGATGTTCCGAACACAAATACGCACGTATAGGCCAAATGCAAGCAAAACATAAAAAGGCAACGCTTACCTTAATGTAACTTAGATGTCATCCAGAGAAGTGAGCTCAGTTCTCCGATCCATAAAGGTGATCGCATGTAATCCGGAAGGGGCAAAAATAGTTATTGATTAATACGCTAAAAGGTTACGGAAGTTGTTTCTTGGTTGTGGATCGAATCTTGTTATCAAATCTGGTACATGACCCCGTGACCCAATTTCAGCAAATAGCGGTTCCTTAGCAGATGGAATTCTGTCAAAAGGTGTTGGCGCGCGCGCCCCGGTGGTGAATTTACTCCAAGGTTACCCGCATGCGTATATAAAACGTATCCGGAATTATACTTTCCTTAAAATGTACATACCTCTTTAAATATCCGAGTTAATCGGGAAAAACAATATTGCGGAATCCCCAAATTGAAATAAATTTGATGGCAGAGGGGATCAAAACAAGCACTTTTTCCAAATAAACCGAGAGTCCAATGTGTTTCGTTTGACAGCCACCCCCACAAAAGTGGTGAAATTTGCATTTCTTTTTTAATTTTTTTCTCAGCAACCATATGAGACAGATAGGTGGCACGTTTTTGAATAGGTTTACGAGTATGCCCTTTCCGAATTTGATTTCAAAATTCCTACCACGAAACGCCGCACCCCTAAATGGGCGTTTCGACGAAATTTGGTATCTGGGGGTTTTTGAACATGAAAATCACGAATATGAGATTAGTTTTTGAAAATTTGAAAAATAAATTTCACTACAATTGTTGGTCGGACAACCAAAATGGAGAGAATTCCACGAAATTTGTTGTGTACAGACTTGATGAGTTAAGGAACAAAATTGTCGAATAGTTTTTTAAATCACTTTTCAAACAAAAGTTATACTCATTTGAAGATTGAGCCTTCGGGTCACAAAGTGTCCCCCGCCTACGCGATTTTTGATTTTCATGTTCAAAAACGCCCAGATGCCAAACTGCCATTTAGGGGTGCGCTTTTTCGTAGTTAGAATTTTGAAAAAATGTTTGCAAGATCAGAAAGGGCACACCCGAAAACCTATTCAAAGACGTGCTACCAGTCTTTCTAACTCTTATGGGTTGCTGAGAAAAAAGAAGAAATGAAAATGTTACCACTTTTTGTGGGGGTGGTTGCCAAACGAAACACTTTGGACCCTCGATTGATTTGGAAAAAGTGTTTGTTTTGATCCCCTCAACCAACACGCTTGTATGTAACACCTTGTATACCTAATTGAATATGAACATTTTTTAAATTGATTGTATATTTTGAATGAGATGGTACTGTAAATTTTGGACTAGGGTGAATGCTAACAGGGATTTTTTTATAAAAAGAATTTACAAAAAAAAGCTCTCTTTGCGCAACACCGCGGCTGTCGCTTGCTATTATCGTTTGGTCGCTCAGTACCACGTAATCGAGTAGGTGCTCTGTTGCATCCATATTAAATTATGTAGCTGTCTTTTGTTCGAGTGTAATAAATAAGAAATAAAGACACTAAAAAGTAACAAGATGTGTATATGTTATGAATATTCTCATAACGTGAAGTGTAATTACTTCTAAAAGCACTCTTACGCTTTAGTTAGTTTATAATTGTTACAGTCGTTGAGTAGTAAACATTCAAAACAACCGTAAAACGAAGATAAATTACGTTTTGAAAAGATGAGTTTTTCGAGTTCATCGACGGGAAGTCAGTATGAATTTGTGAATACATCAAAGTCTAAAAAGCTCAAGCCCACTTTTCATTATCTCCTACTCCATCCCTTTGGATTCCAGTGCATGTGGCGCCCTCGGGACGACTAAAGGGTGCGTCAGAAACGGGAAGGTGCAACTAAGAACATTTTTCACGAAATTCTTTCTCTTCTCGTAATAACAAGTCGTTGGCAGTCAAGACAGACGAGTGAAATAAGCGATTACTTACCATGAACTGTAGATTTTCGAAGTAGAATGCTTTTTGTTGAAAGCGGGGTAAGTGTAAGATAAATAAAATGTTTTCATAAATTGATCGTCTGCTGCTCTAATGTGCGGATATTTCAAGTTTAACATTGAATTGATATATTTTGGTACTTCAGCATATTTCATCGGAAAGGAGAACAAATAAAATTATGTGAACCACTCTCTACCTTACCTTTTCCCGTTAACAACCCGCAAAGTAAGTACATAAAGCCAGTTAAAACTTTCCCATTCTGATGAATGATACGCTGGCAGACTTAGGATGCAGGAAATGTGGTTTTAATATACCCCTTTGTAGATGGAAATTTTAACTAAAATTTCTATCCTGATGTTATTTAATCATTCTCTTATTGTTAGTTTGTTGATAGAGTTATTATAGAGCAAATTATAATTCATTTCTCTGGCGAGAGTCGTGAATTATCAACTGTTGGCAACGTTCACCTCTGCAAGACGCAGTACTAACGCAAGCGAACCGGTAAGAGGTTTTACGTATGTAATATCCATTTCATATATGGAAACAACTTCAACTCAAAACTCAAATTTGTCGACGGAGATCGTAATTCATTAAAATGTTTAAGATTAATGAATGTAATTAAAATACTTCAGGCTAATGGAATTTTGGTTGTAGACAGAAATTCTTAAATATCACCTCTTTTAAGTAATGTTTCGTTCTAATGGATGATGATAAGTCAAGTGGAAGACGATTAATTTGAGTAAGTTATAGGATCTTTTGTTATTGTGACGGAACAAAAAAATAATGAGGAATGCAGGTAGGTACTAGTTAATTTATTTCTTTGATTTTTAGTACAGGGTGTCACAAGTAAGATACTTTTGTTCCGTCTCGTGTCTATCTGAGACTTTCTTATTTGGGGAGTTAAGGTCATACACTTTTGATAGTAGGCCTACAAGCAAGTAGAAAACGTGCGATAAAGCGCGGTATGCAGGAACGGTTCCGGGTGTCAGAAGACGGTACTTACAAGGGGATTTGTAGTAGGTTAGAACGAGCTTATCTATCTGTCTGAGCCTCATACTTAAGGTCATATGTGACTTCACTTACTTTCTTACTTGTTTTCAACCTGTACAACATCGGGTAATTCCTCATAATCGTGATTATCGATATTTAAATTATCCTCCCACCATCTTTTACGAGAATGACTGTAGTTCCTAAGGCTATTATGTAACGGATCCCCACATTCGCGCCAGGGTTGCACAAGCGAAGAATGTACATATTATATATCATTTGTGTTTGGTTAGACCTCAGGTACCTACTTGCCTTTTTGGCCAGAGCATGACCTGTCCATTGTGATAATACAGGGTTAGAGTTCGTCTCAGGCGCCCGCCCGCCCGCCTGCCGCATTATAAAATAGAGTTTCAAGATTCATCACATATCAGTATTCAAATAACAAATATTCAGAAGTCATGAATAATTATCATATTTGGCATTTATGCAAAATATGATAGTAGTAAAATATTCAACAAATATATTACGCCCCAACACAACACCAACATAAAGCCCGACCCATCGCACATGCCCATAACAATAATCGCACTTGAATTTTGAAGTTACCTTCTTGCGAATGACTAAAATATAAAATACACGTGGAAAGTTACACAACAATTGTATAAATACCCTGTTTATTAATCTTCAACCTCCAACTAACAAATAATAAGTCCACCATGTAGTCAAGATATATGCTAACATTAACTAAGCCAAAGGAAATTGTAACATTTATATGGAGATGCCAAATCTCCAGTAGTCTCCAGGTTATTACACTCCTCAATTCTAAGCTACAATTGTGTGAAATCAGGAATTTGCTGCATGGGAAAAAAATGTACGTACCGATGTTCGGCTTTAGCAACAAGTAAATTTGGTGCGGTTTCAGAACCCGAATAATCGGTGGCTAAAAAGTCACCTTCATTTTCTTCTGCGATCTCTTCATCTAACTCGTTAGCTAGATTCATTCGATATCGTTGAAATGGTCTATCCACATTTTTCCCCATCTTCTTCAATAATAACTTCCACTGTATGATTTATTCTTACGTTGTTATTGCTGCTGTTTTTTGCGCATAATTGTTTTGTGCCTCTATTCTTGTAAAAAATTAGCTATTTTTATTTTACTGAATTACATGGTCGATCCAGTTGTGTTTGCTATTAAGTCTTACTGTGATGTATTAATGTAATTTCTGTACTCTTTTTTGTTTGACTATTTTTCTCACATCTTTCTTCTTCTTCACCATTTCTTCAATGTGAACTTCTATAAATGATTTCACCTAGACTTCTTCTAGGTATTTTGGGCCGTTTTCATAGTTTTCTTTTTTAATTTAAACTAAGTTGAGTATAATCCATTGCATAAAATATTAGTTATCATGAGTTACACGATAATGAGACGAAAATGTTGTGGTTTCCGCTTAATTCTAAATTCTCCTGCCAGTGGAAAATTAACTTACTACATATGACTTTTTGGAACTCATTAATTTTGCATATGTTTGATAATAATTGATCTATCTATACTCTATTTAATAGCTCGTTTCCCAGTAATTGTGTTATAAAAGGTCCTTGCCAGTTCACTTTTAGTTAAGAAAGATCATTAATAGCTAAAATAATAACATAATCATTGCATAATTTAGTGCTCTGTGTTGAGGTCTGTCTGAATGCAGTTGCCTGTAGATGTTATTTCAAATAAGCAGCAGATTTAAATATATTAGGTACTGAGAAAGTTTTATGGCTAAGTTTACTAACTAATGTCATCCGAAGTCGCTGTAAATCACATTCTAGAATCTAAGATGTATAGCAAAGCAAACGAAAATTAATAGTTTCTGGAAAAATAAATAACGCTATGTTTCTGCAGTTGATGTGATATTAGTACTTATTTACCTACTTGAAAGTTTCAATTGTAATTCTCTGTCTCCGAGGCAGCGTTAAACTTCTCAAATAAAAATATAAACTAATGTAAGGAAATGATTCATATACCTAACGCGATCATAATGTGAATGTTATATATTGATGCGCGTTTAAGAGCTAGTGATATAAATGTTCTATATTTTCCTTCCCATTATGGGATTACTAAAGTTGATATTTCGAATAACTCTGATAAATCGGTCCAATTTAAGAGTATCACACGTAGAAATATAGGAATGTTGACTATTTTGATTACCAATCAATAACCGTAGATGTGATGAAATAGGGGAAGTGAATCGCAATTTTGCACCGAATGAAAGATTGTTTTTTGTAGGTATACTATTGTTTATTTATTTGTTTTTTCAGAGATATTTTTTAAAGATTTGGTAATACCAATTCTCAATCTGTGTACAACTTGAACTTTTACGAATATGATAACAAACTGGCTCTTCGATAAACGACCGCTAACAAATACAGAAAGTAAAACTACTGTAGGTACAAAAGAAAGATGTGTCATTTCTCAACATAAATAAATAATAAATCATAAAGGTAGCACAAAAAATGTTGTATAATTCTCTTATTATGCTATAAAGAAAACCAGAAAATTCCGATTAGTTTCG